AAAAATGCTTTGTGGGGTCACCCTGGGGTCTCCTCTCCCCCTCGGCTGCCTTTTGAACAGCTCCAGCTCATCGGGCTGGAAAGGAGTCGATCCGTTTGTGTCTGTTTCTGCTCATAACCGAGTCCCCTTCCCGCCCGGCGCTTTCCGCCCTCCCCTCGCCCGCAGTGGGGGGGCCCAGGGTGCCCCTCTCTTGTGGAGAGATGCCCAGGAGGGCTCGGCGGGCATCCAGCCCATCTGCTTCTCCTCCGTCTCCCCCCCACCACCATCCCAGTTCTTCCTGTTCCCTCATCAGGAGGGAGAGAGGAAGCAGCTCGGTCTCCCCCCGCCAACCCCGGCCGCCCCGTTTCCTCCGGTGGAAGAACAAAGGGAGGCTGGCAGGCAGTCAAGTGGCTCCCGGTGGGCCAGCCCTTGCCGCTTGCCAGCCCTGCCGGCCTCCCGGCGCCGGCTCTCCTCTCCCGGCGGCGCTGCTGGAGCTCTCGGCCGCTCTTCCCAGCTCTGATCCCCCACCCCGGCAGAGCTGCCGGTGGGTCACCGGTTTCCCCGTCCCCACGGCCTGGCCCTTCGGGCAAAGTGCTGCGTGGTGGCTCGTTCCTGACGGACCCTCCCCAGCAGCGCTCATCTGCCGCGCGTGGGAGCGGTTCTCTAATTTCCTTTCCTTTTTCTTTTTTTTTTTTTAATTTTTTTTTTGTTATTATTGTCTCCTTTTGGCCTTTATTCCCCCAGTTCTCCCTGCAGGCAGCTTCTGCCCCGCTCCCCGCCTTGGCAGGCAGCAGAAATCAAACACCTTGGGGCCCTGATGCCATTTTGGTTGCTGAAGGCTGCTCCTGCCAGAGGCCGGAGCGGGACTGGGCTCTCGGGAAAGCCTTGATTTCCCTGGCCCCGTTATGGTGCTCGCTGAGCCCGGGGCAGCATTGGGGGCTGCAGGAGGTTCCGTGCTCTGAGGGTCCTTCCAGACCCCCTTGTGACAGCTCCGTGGGTCCTTCCAGACCCCCCGTGACAGCTCCATCTCCGCCTGCCCCTTTGCTCCCGTGTGGAAACCTGCCGGCGCCGGGGAGATCCAGCCCCATGGTGCACCATGGTGGGTGTGTGGCCACGCAGTTCTCGCTCCGCTGGGTTAGAGGTGTGCAGAGACTTGGTTAAAAAAACGTTTTGGAAAAATAAACCCAGTGACCCCAGGGTGAGGGAGCGTGGGGAGCTGGCTCGGTTGGCCATCCAGCATCTGCCGATGCTTCTGCCAGGGCCCAAGCCTCTGTTCCATGGGGCTTAGCCCCACTGAGAGTGGGGAGAGACACCCCCCATTGTGTCCCGGGGGTGAGGGATGGACAGACAGACAGCCCCGGTGCGGGAGGCCTGCGCTGGGGAAGGAGGTGGTGAGCCGAGCATCCTCCAGGCCTCCAGTTCGGAGATGCTGGTTTCTCATTCTGGGGTTGCAGAGGCGGAGGTGTGTGTGGGGGGGGAGTTGGGGGAGATTGGACCCTCTTCACCCTCCTTCGGTCCCAGGTCCCCGCTCTTTGCAGGAGGTGGTGCCTGCTGCCGGAGAGCTCACACGGTGGGGCATCTGAAATGGCCTTTGATGTGAAATCTGCTACAAAAGGGCTGTTAAAGAAACTAAATCAAGTATAGAGTTCCTCGGTGTGTTCGGAGCTGCTCACAGCAAGTGGTGTGCAGAGAAACGAGTAGATGGGAGTTGGGGGGTGAGGGTTTGGGTCCAGCAGCCCTGAGCCCCCCTAGGTCTGGCTGCTGGTGTGGGAGCTGGGGCAGAGCTGGTGGATTTGGGGATCCCATGGTGACCCAGAGCCCTGCTGGGGCTGGGTATCAAGCTCCCCAAGAGCGATCTGTGGGGTGATGAGACGTGGTGCAAGGGGAAGTCACTGTCTGAGCGTGTGGGGAGACTGTGGCCACCCCACCCATGCTTGTGGTGGGGAAATGGGGGGCCGTGGCCATGCTGGGGAGCACCAGGACAGGAGCAAGCCCGACTTGGCTTGGCCAAACGGCCTTGCCTGAGGAGCAAAGTGCACCCAGGTTGTGTCTTGGAGGGAGGTGGGCTCAGAGTAGATGGATGGAAATGGGGAGGGACAGTGGAAAAAAACCCTGGTTTTCTCTGGTAGGGCGGTGCAGAGAGGACCACCATCCCTCCTGGGACCCGTGCATGGCCACGCAGGCTGGCCACAGCCTCGGCTGCCGGCTCTTTCTGTGGTCTGCACGGCGCCCAGCCACGGCGATGCTCTCCCCGCTGTGTCTGGGTGCTGCCACGCTCGAGGAGCAGCAGCAGCAAACGCTCTGCGGTTGCGAGACGTTTCCTACCGAGGCGTGCAACTGCCGATCGGTGGGTTGTGGCAGCTCGGCGCCTTCTGCCAAAGAACCACATCCCTGGCTGCGCTGGGGTCCTCTCTCCTGCCAGACCACGGTGACTGGTGGGCAGAGCCCCCTCCTGCGCCCAGCTGCGGGTGGCCATGGGCTGGGTGATGGGAAGCGCTGGTAGAGGCAGGATTTAACCTCATCTGGGCAGCCCCGTCCTGATGCAGGAGGTTGGAACATGCCCTGGTCACTGTCTGGGCATCCCAGGGCTTTTGGGAAGGGTTTTTTCATCCTGTCCCTTCCTCTGGCTGGAGCAGAGGTGCCTGTGCCGGTGCTACGGAGCTTCGCAGGAGCCTCTGGGCAATGGCTGTGCCAGGATCAGCACCCCAGGGCCAGCGGGGATGGAAGGGGCGTGGGTGAGGCTCCGTGCCCCACCAGCAAAACCCGAACCTGCAGGTTTTATCTCGGGGGCTGCCCCTGCCTGCTCCAGCACCGCTCTCCTCCGCCTCTGCCTGCCCAAGGGGGGGACTGGAGCCAAGTCGCACGTTGCAGCCGGCGTCTCCCGGCTGCTGCCTGCCAAGTGTGGCAGAGACCTGGCAGGGCCACGCTGCCTTGCCCCTCTGGAGCTGGGGCTGCTCTCCAGAGCTCCCCCCCCTGCACCAACCTCCATCCTGTGACTGGTGGACCCCTGGTTGCAGGGCTCTGTGCTCTTCCTCCCTCTGGTTCCCCCAAGACCCCCCAAGTGTCTGTATTGCCCACCTGAGACCTCCAAAGGTGTCAAATCTTTCATTCGGGGTGGGAAATGAGGCAGGTGGGTCTCCATAACCCACCTCCATGAGCTCTGCCCTCCTTGGGGGGCCAGTGTTGGTGATGGGTGAGGGACCCAGCTCGGGGCTGGCTGCTGCTCTGGGGCTCTGGGGGGCAACTGGTTTTGCCAGAGGATGCTTTGCCTCTCTAATAGCTTTAAGATCTCATTATCTCCTTGCTCGGGGATGGCAGGGATGAGGAAATGGTTGCTTATGCTTGTCCAGGGCTGGAGAAATCTCCTGGGAGCCTTGTGGGCAGAGGAAGTGTCTGAGATGAGGATGCTGTCTCTGAAGCATTGGAGCCTCTTTGTTTTCCCCGCTGGTGGGATGCGGGGAGCGTGGCAGCCCCATGCCGGGGAGCAGAGACAAGCTCCTGTGTGTGACCTTCACCATCCTGGGCTGGGGGAAGCCTGAGTGATCAATCCCCCTGGGCTGCTGCAACCAGCTTAATCTCTTAATTCCCCTTTCCTGCGGCCAGGATGCTGCTGGCTCCAAAAGTGCTTCCTGAGGCTGGATTCAGACAGGTGAGCTCAGCGGCAGGGACAGACTGTGCCGTCTGCTCCTGCACAAGGTCTGCAGCATCCCCTGGGCCACTGATGGTGCTTTTACATTCTCCTGACCTGGGCATTAAATGGGATGCCCTTCTGTAGACAACATGTGCCCCACAGACATCCCGCAGGTCCCTGTTTGCCGTGACAAGCAGGGAGATTGGTGCCCTGGGAGGAGGGTGGCACGCACGAGCTGCCCAATCCGTCCTTCTGTGGCCATCCCAGCTCATTGACGATGCCCGAGGGCTGGGAGCTGAGCTCAGGGTCAGCTCGTGTCGCGGCCAAGCGGCGCTGCCGGTGCCAGCCGGCACGGCCTGCCCCGTGTTCCCGTTGCCAGCGTCCCCGCCGGGCGGGAGGAAGGCCAGCGGACGGGCGCGGGGAGCGGTGCCAGACGGGGCTGGAAGCAGGTTCAGCGACAAGAGGTTTATCCTGGAAGGAGGAAACGAGAAAACTCCAGACTTACTATTCCAAAGTCCAGGGCTGCAGCCTGACCGGCTGAGCTGGTGCTGGGGCTCCGAGCTCTGGAAGGAGGATTTTGTTGTTTTTTTTCTCCATTCTTTGAAATTAGAACCTTAATTCCACTCCTTGACTGAAACGGGGGGCTGCTGGTCCCCACTCCCAGCATCTTCCTGCAGCCCAGGGGTTTTGGTGCTCGTTGTGCTTGCAAAGGTGATGTATTTTTTCACATTCCTTTCTTTCTGTTCAATGCCTCCCATCACGACTGCCCGTGTCTGCGTGCCGCTCGCTCTGGCTGCCGTCATGGTGCGAGCTGGGGCTGGGATGCCCTGACTCATCTCTTGCACAGATGCATTTTCTCTTGCCCATGAGCAGTGCCCCGGCGAAGGGAAGCCGCTCTGCCCTGCGCCTTGCTGGATGAGTTTGGTTTTGCAACACTGTAGGGCTGTTTCCAGCTGAGAAAGCAGGTTTTGAGGCAATGAAGAAGTGAGGAGCATTTGCAGGAGGGTTTCTTTTATTGCTTTTATTGCATGAGGTGCTGGCTCTGTTAATGTGGAGCCGGAGCTGCCTTGTAGGAGCAGCAAATCCACCGACCGGTGGATTTGCTGCTCCTACAAGGCAGCTCCAGCTCCGAGATTCCCCAAGAAGGTCAGGCAGGGAGCAAGGGAGGGGAGGAAATTCCTCCTTTGCTGGTGTTGGGGAGTTATATTTAGCCCTGGGGATATCAGCTTTGCTTGGCCCTCCCCATGCAACGTGTGCTGGGGGAGCGAGCGCTGCCCTGGGCACGTGTGGTCAGTGCTTGGTTCTGCCTCTCCCCGTCATCGTTCCTGGAAACAGGAGTGATTTGGCTCGAGACCAGCAGGATGCAGCTGGCCACAGGGAGGGCTGGAGGGCCACCAGCAGCTGAGATGGGGCACCTGAACCCTGACTCTGTTTTGGGTGCCCAAGGATGGAAGCTTGGCTGTGGAAAGGAGCAGGAGGTGTGTTTGCTGGTGGGATGGGAAGTGCCATGCCTGGTCCTGCTGCCTGAAAACCATCTGGTGGCGGTGCTGTGAGGTGGGGAAGGTTCCTCCCACCTCTCTCCATCTTCTCCCTTCATCTATCCTCAGCCCAGAGAAGTGCTTCTCCCTGGGTTGACAATCCTGCCCTGCCCCAGGGCTGAATGATGCTCTAGAGAGTGTTGGTGGGGGGTTTCCCCCCCCCCAGGGCCGCCCAGTGCAGGTGTTCCCCAGGGAGGCTGAGCTGAGGAACATCTTTGACTCAAGGCCATGTGAGCTCTCCCAGGGGTGACTGTCACCCACTCGAGCTGCCAGGTCACAGCCTGTTTCACGCAGGCGCGCGTGGCTCTGTCCCTGTGTCACCATGGTCTCCCTCCCTCTCTCCCCAGGTATGCTGGAGGATGGGAAGAAGTTTGATTCCTCCCGCGACAGGAACAAGCCGTTCAAGTTCGTGATGGGCAAGCAGGAGGTGATCCGCGGCTGGGAGGAAGGAGTCGCTCAGGTGCCTGGTGCTTCTCCATCTCGGGGTGTCCCTGGCAGGGCTGCGCAGAGCCGTGTTCCTGGGGAGCTGCAGCGTGGGCAGCAATCACTGTGTGCCGCTCCTTCTCTATTTTATTTTACTTTATTTTTTTTTTTAATTCATTCCCTTGTGTTTTCCGCCCCTCCGCCCCCTCGGCGCTGAGAGGTGTGGGTGTGAATATCACCTTCTGCATTGCCACCTGCCAGATGGCAGGAATGGAGCAGGGCCGGGTCCCAGGAACACCTACGGCACGTCGGTGACTCAGCGGTGACATTTCTCTACTGAGTCAGCTCCGAACCAACGCGGCGGGGAGCGCTCGGGCCTCCCGCTCCCGGCGGAGACGGCTCCCGGGCTGCGAAGCCCACGCGGAGGGAGGGCTGGTGGGCACGGAGCGGCTTCGGTTCCTGCCTCTGTGACTGCCACCAGCTCTGTGAGCTGCTGGGGACACAGCACAAGGGCGCCGGTGGCTTTAGGCAATGACCTGGCATTCCCCACCATGCGTGAAGGACATCTCAAGTCCTGCTCCTTTTCCAGCCCTGCATTTCCCTCCTGGTGTTCTTCCCGTTCCTCTTCTGTCCTCTCCAGTTTGGGTTGTTGCTCTTGCCCAGTGTTAAGGAAAGGAGTGGGGACAGGTCTGTGTCCCTCTTGCTGTTACTCACACAGTGTTTATTCACATCTCCTGACGTCCCTGTGTCTCTTCCCCTGCCCCCAGATGAGCGTTGGTCAACGGGCAAAGATGACCATCTCCCCAGATTACGCCTACGGCTCTACTGGCCACCCAGGGATCATCCCACCAAATGCCACTCTAATTTTTGACGTGGAGCTCATGAAATTGGAATGACCTACCCCAGCACCCTGTCCTCGGGTAAGGAGGGGCAGCTGCTGCCGGGGGGGTGTTGTGGCTTGAGGGTGACTGAAGGCCTCCATCTTTTGCTGCAGGCTAGTGCGGGGAGGTGGGATGGAGGTGATGCCAGTGAGGGGGTATGAGAAGGAGGGGCGGGTTTCTAGCTGTGGGTAGAAGTTGCTCTCAGGAGGCTGGTGATCTGGGTATCACTATGGTGGTACGAGCAGAGTTCCCAGCCTGGCAGAGCGGGTTCATGCCATGGAGGCGTTGCGGTGCTGGCTGATGGTGCCTCAGGTTCCTCGCATTGCTTTGCTGCACGGCAGGGCTCGGCTGCCTGCTCCCCTTCTGCCTTCGTGCTGCTGGTGCGTGGGTCTGAGTGCGGGCAGGATGGGGCTGTGCTCTGGGGTCTGTGGGTCGGATGGTGTGAGCAGGATGGGGCTGTGCTCTGGGGTCTGTGGGTCGGACAGTGTGAGCAGGATGGGGCAGGGCTCCAAGGTCCTGGGTCGGATGGTGTGAGCAGGATGGGGCTGGGCTCCGAGGTCTGTGGATCCATCAGGATGGAGCTGGGCTTGGGAGCGTGTGGGTTCTGTGGTGTGGGCAAGATGGAGTTGGGCTCCCCCTCCAGAATTGGGGCTTGGTTCCCACTCTGAGCAGAGTGGTTTGTGATGAGGCCGCCGTTCCACGAGTGTTTTCCCTCCTGCTGGGTCCCCTCCGCCGGCAGCTTCATCACGCTGCTTCTCCTCTCTCCCGGCAGGTTTGGCACATGGAGGAATCCAGAATCTCAGCTTCAAGAAGAGTGCACATGACTTTGTACGGAGCTTTTCCTGATAGTCCACTACACTCATTGTATAACCTTACACCTTGATTGAATGCCTTTGGTCACTAAGCTTTGCGTCTGACTCTTCCTCCTTGTATCGTGTTTTTATGTCTTTTTAAACTATACGCCGTAAACCTCAACTCTTTTTTGGGTCAAGTTCTTAATCTTATTTTTTGTTCCAGGTGTAGACTATCTTTTACCAGTAGCACGCAGATGGGCTGACCTTAGAAATAGGAATCGTTTGAACGAAAGGAAACCTGTTAGTTACTGGTTTTGGTGCAGATCTCTATGGTGTTTTTAAAACCAGAAATTGCTGCTGCTGCAAAAGCCATAGCAGAGTGAGGCTGTCGAGGCTGAATGGATGCCGAGAGCAAAGTAGTGCTAGGATTGTGTGTAGGTACCTGCCTGGAACCGGGGCGGCGAGGGAGCAGCCTCTCCTTTCCCTGTTTTCCCCCCCCGGGGAGGGTGCAGCATCGCTGGGGGGGCACCGTGAGTTTGCTCCTGGGAAGAGGGGGCCACTCTGCCATCTCATGGTGGACCAACCCTCCTTCCTTCCTTCCTTCCTCCCCTCCTCCAGCCCGCTTTTGGATTTACGGAGATGGGTTCCCATCAGAGCTCCACCACACCCTGAAAATTCAGTAGTTTACATTGAGCTTTCTTTAAAGGAAAAAAAAAAAAAAAGGAAAACAGCAGACAAACGGAAAGGTGCTGTCTACAGGGGAGGTGGCGGGGCCTGGTGGGGAGTCAGCTCAAAGGAAAAAGTCCCTTGTCCCTTCTCTCTCCCTCCCCCTTGGAAAGGAAACATCAGACCCCCCGTTGTCCCCGGTCTGAGCACACCTGACCGTTCTCTCCTGACACCTGATGCTGGTCATCGCCGCTTGTCTGGTCTCATACGATGCAAAGCTTCCCCCTGCTGCTGCCCTCCCTGCCCCCTCCCTCCGCCCTGCCTAGTGATTTGGTAAGAGAAATTGCCGCCGTTCACTTCCTTCTCCACCGCATAAAGGTATCAAGTTTTATTATTGCAATAAAAACGCTTTATGCTGGCTTTTCTCAACCCTGTGTCTTGGAGGTTTTTCCCTCGCCTGTCTGTCGCTCAGCACAGTGGGTGCCATGCCGGGTTCTTGGGGTGCTGTGCTGGGCTCTGGGGGTGCTGTGGGTGCTGTACCAGGTTCTTGGGGTGCTGTGGGTGCCGTGCTGGGCTCTGGGGGTGCTGGCTTGCTTTGGTGTGAAGCTCAGGTGCTTGGCCCTGGGAGCACAGAGGGACGCCTGGGGCTCGCTGGGTTCTGTGGGAAGGTGATGGTGGCCTGCTGGAATTTGTATAATTAATTACCTTACTATAACCTATTAAACGTTGCCCTCTCAGCCTCTCGCCGTCGTGGCTGTGACTCAGCCTGGACGGGGAATGTCAAGGGCAGATGGACTCGTGCTTCCAGGCTCCCTCCAGTTCTGGAGAAGTATATCTATATCTCTCGATGTATTTCATAGAATGATTTCGGTTGGAAGGGACCATAAAGATCATCCAATTCCAACCGCCCTGACATGGGCAGGGACACCTCCCACTAGACCAGGTTGCTCAAAGCTCCATGGTCTGGATGGGGCTTTCTGTTTTGGTCCTCTTTGGAGACTGGATGTTGCACCCCAGCACATCCAGCTGCCAGCATTTGAAGGCCAGACCACCATGGACCTGAAAAGCCTCTTGGGGTTTTTTTGGGGGGCTTTTCTCAGTGATTCCCCCACCGTGCCTGGTCGGTGCAGCTCCCTGGGCCCCTCTGCTTCTGGTCCTTGCTGTGGCACCTCAGATGGTTGCTGGGGGTGGCTGGTGTGGCTCAGGGTGCAGGTGCCAGTGCTCGGCTCCTCCTCAAACGGCCTTTGCTCCATTTGCCTCCATTGATAACACGGCTGCGATCGATAACGCGGCAAGTCCCCGCTTCCCAGCGGGTTTGTTGGGAGCAAAGTTTGTGTTTTGGGAGGGAGGTTGGGGAGGTGATGGAGGGAACAGTGGCCACGGGGCAGGAGCAGCTCTGCCACCTGCGTTTGGGGTCGTGGGGAATCGGGGCCACGCTGTGCAGATGTTAGCACTACCCTTAATTGCTACTCAGTTAAGCAGAACGGGGTGGATGTTGCCGGGGTGCCAGCATCACGCTCTGCTCTTTGCTGCGACCACTTCGAGGCGGAAACTCGAGGGGAGCTTGGGTTTCTCTTCTCGCAAAGCTTTTTGCTTTAATTATTAACTGGTGCCAGGCAGCGCTGTGGCTTCTGGCTGGAGATAAGCCAGGGGCTGGTGAGGGACTGGGGGGAGCCCGGTGGCCAGCAGCTGCCCCCCATGCCCTGGGCACGCAGCCCCTCTGTGGTGGCTCCTGCAGCACCCACAATCGCAGATGGGGTGCGGGAGCTCCAATTTGGGGGGGATGAGGGATTTGGGGCAGGCACAGAGTCCCCGGGAGCCATCGTCTGGCTGTTGTGGGATGTCTCCCTGCTCCCGGCCGTGTTTGTCAGCGGTGAGGCTGCTCTTGTCCCGGGCTGGTGGAGGCAGACGGGCACCGTCGGGCTAAAAATAACACCAGTAAATAAAATGCTTCCTCCTGGCCTGGCACGCAGGAGCGAAGGCGCAGGGAGCTTGGATGTGCCCAGCTGCTGCTCCATGGCAGAGCCTGCAAGGTTCTGGGCTGGTGCCACCAGCTCCTGGCCCAGCTGGACCCTTCTGCCCGGCTTCTGGGGACACGGTGGCCCTTGGCATCCCCGGTGCTGGCAGTGGGATGTCACAGGTGGGTGCTGGAAGGCTGGATCCTGGAGTGACGTGCCGATGTCCCGCGACGATGCCCGTGTCTGCCCTGTGCCCTGACTCCGTGCTCGCTCAGCCTTTCCACCCACAGCGCGGGACTCCCACGGGGCCGTCACGCCTGGCACGTGCCCCGGGGCCACCGGTGACGGGCTGGAAGGGCGCGGGACACGGCATCCCTCTCACAGCCGTGTCAGCCCCACGTGCCCGGGCAGCGAGGTGTCAGCAGGAGCCAACCGCCCACGTAGGGCTGCTCACGGTGGGGCACCCCACTTCACACACACACACCCCCACTCCCCCCGGGTCTGGGGCACCGAGCTGCCATGGGGCCAAGCTGGGTGCCAGGTCCAGCAGGAGCTGTGATGCGGTGGGAAGGGGGGGCCACCACAGTGGGTAGCAGGGGACACAACCCCATCCCTGGTCCCCTGTGATGCCCAAACCCCTTAGGAAGCCATCCTAATCCCCATCCCTGCAGTGATAGGGCCCTGAGAAGGTTTGGCTTCACCTTCCTCTTCCTCTTCCTCACCTGTGTCCTACCTGGGGGGGTGGTGTCAGCTGAGGCTGCCTGGCCCCTCCCTGGGCTGGGCATGGCTATAAAAGCCTAGTACCAGGCAGAGGGTGGCACAGGGAGCTGGGAGCTGTTGACAGGTGAGTCCAGGGGTGCCAGGGTTGGGGTCTGGGGGTCTTGCATGTCTGGGGATGCTGCTGTGGTCATGGGCTGAGTGGGGGGTCCTGCCTGGTTCCTGTGGGGCTCAGAGCTGGGTTTGGATTTGGCCTCTTCGCCCTGAGCTTTGGACAATGTGTTTTGGGGCACAGGATGCTGTGGGGCAGGGCTGGGTGGCATAGACTTGCCGTGGGCAAGGCACACTTGGGGGGCAGAGGGGACTGATGGGGGGCAAAGGAGACTGCGAGGAGTCGTCAGAGGGGCTGTTCCCATGGGACATCCTACCCCTGTGTCTGGGTGATGCTGGAATGGTCCCGCTGGGCAGGTGGACATGGGGAGTGGGACCTGCCACCAGCCGAGAGGTGCCCGGAGTGCCTGTGCCTGGCGCACGGCTGCCCGTGTCCCGGCTGCTGGGAAGTGGTGGAGGTGGTGACGGCCCTGGTGGCACGGCCCTGAGTCACGTCAGAGGCCCCGGGTGACAGCCCATCTCCGGCACACGGAGCCAGGCACGTGGCCTGGGAGGGATGCTCTGGGAGAGGCACCCTGTCCCTGAACCGCCCTGTCCCCAGGCACAGTCACAGCAGCAGAGATGGCAACGCTCTACCCTTCCCTGGAGGACATGAAGGGCCACCAGATCTTGCAGGTCAGTGTCAGCGCAGCAGCGTAATCGGGGGGACCCCGATAGGTCCTTGTGATGTCCCACTCTCAGAGTGTCCCCCCGGGCTGGGGGGCACAGCCTTGAGCAACCCCTGTCTCTTGGCAGGCGCAGGCAGCTGCCGGGGTGAGGACCCCCGCCACGACGGTGGTCACGGAGAAGCCAAAACTCACCTCGGGCACCAGCAATGCAGGTTGTGATGGGGTCTCCCTGCTGAGGGGCTGTCTGGGGACGGGGGAGGGATACTTACCATGGAGGGGGCTCAGCTGAGACCCTCCCACAGCTCAGTGCCTGGGTAGAGGAGGGGATTTGGGGGTTTCTTTCCCCTGGCCCATCCCCTGCCATGTCCTTTGAGCTGGTCACTGGCCCACGGACCCAGGATGGGAGGGGTGAGAGCTGTGGGGTGGGGACCTGGTGAACTGAGGCCATTCTTGGTGTGTCCCACAGCACCACCCATGCTGTACCCCAACCTGGCTGAGCTGGAGAACTACATGGGACTTGCTCTCTCTAGCGAAGAGATCCAGAAGAACCTGCTCCCAGATGACAGCACCGTAGGTGTCTGGGCTGGTGGCTCTCACCTGCCTTGCGTGGGACCCCCCCCACCATGCCACAGCATCGCTGAGGACGGGGATGTCCCATGGGGGCCACATCCTGCCCAGAGAAGGGATGCAGCATCCTCCTGAGGGCTGATGTGGTGGGATCCCGTGCCCTCACCAGCCCTGCTTGACCCCTGGTCCCATTGCAGGCACTGACCCCCGCTGGGACCTCCCCAGGCCAGCTGGTCGCCCCCCTGAGCGGGAATAACGCGGGGCTGCGGCGGGCAGAGATCAAGCCGGGCGTGCGGGAGATCCACCTCTGCAAGGACGAGCGGGGCAAGACGGGGGTGCAGCTGAAAAACGTCGACCAGGTGAGGGGGCTGGGCTGGCAAGGGGCTGTGCACGGCATGGCACAGAATGGCACGGCATGGCACAATGTGGGGCATCATGGCATGGCACAAGAACAGTGTGGTGAAGTAGGACTCAGGAGGTGATGGTCCCCCTGGACTGGGCACCTCGAGTGCTGTGTCCAGTTTTGGGCCCCTCACCACAAAAAAGACCTTGAGGGGCTGGAGCAGGTCCAGAGAAGGGCAACGGAGCTGGTGAGGGGTCTGGAGAACAAGTCTTGTGAGGAGAGGCTGAGGGAGCTGGGGGTGTTCAGCCTGGAGAAAAGGAGGCTGAGGGGAGACCTTCTCGCTCTCTCCAACTCCCTGAAAGGAGGGTGTAGCCGGGGGGAGTTGGTCTCTTCTCCCAAGGAACAGGTGATGGGACAAGAGGAAATGGCCTCAAGTTGCTCCAAGGGAGGTTCAGGTTGGATATTAGGAAAAATTTTTACACTGAAAGGATTATCGAGCCTTGGAAGGGGCTGCCCAGGGAAGGGGTTGAGGCACCATCCCTGGAGTGTTCAAAAGACGGGTTGACATGGTGCTCAGGGATGTGGTTTAGTGATGGGTTTTTTTTGTCAGAGTTGGGTTGATGGTTGGACTAGATGATCTTGAAGGTCCCTTCCAACCTAGATGATTCTATGATTCTATATCACGGCACAGGACAGTGTGGTGAACCATGGCATGGCACACCATGGCATGGCACAATGTGGCATGGTATGGCACATCATGCAATGTCATGTTATGCTCCTCCCTGCCATGTTATGGTGCACCTCACCCTGGCGTGGTCACCATGGCATGGCACTGTGTGGGGCACACAGCATGGCACAGCTCGGCCACGGTGCACCATGGCATGGCACGAGGGAGCATGGCATGACGTTGCATGACACATCATGGCACAAGCATGACAGTACAGCACAGGGTGACATGGTGTGGTGCATCATGGCATGGCAACGTGTGGCATTTGATGGCACAGCATGGCATGGCGTGGCACAGCTTCCCAGTCCCCGGTGCCATCACTCCCTCCTGTGTCCCCAGGGCATTTTTGTGCAGCTGGTGAAGGCCAACTCGCCGGCGTCACTGGTGGGGCTGCGCTTCGGTGACCAGATCCTGCAGATCAACGGCAAGAACTGCACGGGCTGGAGCAGCGACAAGGCGCAGCGGGTGCTGAAGAAGGCGTCCCCAGAGAAAATCGTCATGGTGGTGCGGGACAGGTGAGTTGGCCGGGTGGCCAGGGGATGTCCCCGAAGGTGCCAGGACTGACCACCTTCTCCATCTCACAGGCCTTTCCAACGCACCGTCACCGTGCACAAGGACAGCACTGGCCACGTCGGCATCGTGGTCAAGAAGGGGAAAATCGTGTCGCTGGCCAAGGACAGCTCTGCTGCCCGCAACGGCCTCCTCACCCACCACTACATCTGCGAGGTGAACGGCCAGAATGTCATCGGCATGAAGGTAGGGGCTGAGCACATACAACGGGGCAGAACGTGCCCAGGAGCCAGCCAGGGCTGCCATGGGGTGCTGGGCAGAGCCGGGCACCCCACGGGACCCCCACTCTCTCTCCCGCAGGATAAGCAGCTCATGGAGGTGCTGGCAGGGGCCGGGAACGTGGTGACACTGACCATCATCCCCACCGTGATCTACGAGCACATGGTCAAACGGTGAGATCGCGGGGCCGCAGTGCCCACTCCCACCCCACCGGGGCCCCACGGGGTCTCCCCGAGGAACCCCTCGGGATCCCTCCGCTGAGCGCCTCTCCCTGTCCCCAGGCTCTCGGCGGGGCTGGTGAAGTCCACCATGGACCACTCCATCCCTGACCTCTGAGGTGATTGCTGCCATCCCGGGGGGCCAACACCAGCGTGGGCAGCCCCCGTGGCCAAGCCTGCACGTGCTCCTGGAAGCTTGGGGGGGACTGCTGAAGCTCCCCCCCGCAGCGTCCCCAAATGAAGTTGTTTTAGCACAAGAGCTCTCATCCCTACAAAGGCTGGTGGCTGCGGGGAGGAGCAGGGGGACCACCAGCTCATGATGTCCCACGTGTTCCCCTGGCCCTCTCATCAGCAGGGACGCGACACGACCCCCCTCTTCCTGGGGTCCCCGTGTCCCCCTGTGTCCCCGCTCAGGCCAGCCCCCCTCGGGGCGGACGCCAAAGGCTGGCTCCAGCCAAAGCAGACACAGACCCAGCGACGTTTATTACATCCACCACAGACAGCGAGTACAGGACCAGGGGAAACAAGAAAAGGGGGGGGGGTTACAGCTTTTTCAGTTCTGTATTTAAAAAATATATTATATAGATTTGTCTTTCAAATATAATCGTTACATTTATTTCTTGGCAAAGCTTTGGATAGTCTAACAGACGTGTACACAGATCCACAAATACATTGCACAAGAGGCGTAAATCCTAACTCCGCTTACACCGACCGCCGTCTCGCTGTTTCTCCCCAAATTCTTCTCCTGGCACCCGGTGCTGTGCCAGCAGCTGCCTCTGCCACCCCCCAGCACGGGCAGAGCCCCCGGGCAGGGGGCTGCGGGGCAGCGTAAGGGATGCAGGACACGGCGTGTGCCCGCACGGGGACCAGTGGATGCTGGTGTGTGGAGCATCACCAGCTCCCAGGGGTGCCCCGCTGGCAGCACCCATGGGTGGTAGAGTTGGGGAAGGGGGGGGAACACCGTTAATTCAAGTCACGAAGAAGCCACAGACATTCATGGGGGCGGGAGCACCGTGTGCCCGGGGAGCCCCAAGTCTCGTGCCCCGCCAGCCCCCGCCGAGCAATCGTTGCTGTCTTTGCTTTTCATTTAAAAAAGGCATTTTTATATTTTTTTTTTCCTGGAGGCCACCAGCAAAGTGGGGATTTGGGGGGGCCAGGACAGGCAAAAGCACCCAGCCCTGCCCACACCCTCTCGCTGCCTCCCAGCCAAGGCATCCTCAAGCTCCAGTAGAGGATGGGATCACCGGTGTCAACACTGCCAAAACCCCAAGAGCCCCCAGTCCCACTCCGTGGTGGCCAGAGCCAGGGCTGGGGGGTCCCCCCCCCCACCAAGGGCTCGCTGCTGCCTCAGCTCCCCCCCAACAACAGGGCTTCAGTCTGTACCAAACGAAAAAAAAGTGAATATAGTGCAAAGCAAAGGGAAGGAGGGACTGAGGCTTCCCCCCCAGGGGCCGCTCGGCTGTGCAGGACCCCCAGCTCGGTTCTGTCCCAGTTTTGGGGGGGCATCTCCCAACGGATGGGCAGTTTGAAGAGGGGCTGAGCAGTGCCCGGCCAGGGCATCGTCCTGCAGGACAGAGGACAGACACCAAAGGGGCTCAGGAGGTCGGGGTGAAGGTGCCCCCACCACCTCCAGAGATGGTCCCTGTGTCTGGGTGGGTTCCCCCCATCCTCTCCTGGTGCAATCTGCACCCAGAGCGAGAAATGCACCCGGGGGGGTCCCACTGTAGCCCCCCCACCCCATCTCTCCCTGCTGCTGGGTGGCTCTTCGCCGTCACCCACCCTGGGCAGGGCAAGGACAACCAAAAAGTGAGTGCCATGAAGGGAGAGCCCACCCCGTGGGGTGCAGCCCACTCCCCTTCACCCCCCCAGCCAGGGGCACCGTGGGCAGGTGGAGTCCATCGGGCAGGGGGGTCACTCGGTGCCACGTCCCCCATCGCCACTTGGCACCTCTCTTCCAGCCATGGTCCTTTCCCTCCTCCAGGACAAAGGAGCAGGGGGTTTGGGGGGGGGGTAGGCAGTATATCCCCACGCACCCACAGACCCTCCCCCCGGCCCCTTCCCACCCCCCGGGCTGTGTAATGAGCCGGACCCCATGAAGGACCCCATGAGAGAGGGGACACGCCGGGCTTTTACAATCAGCGGTCGGGTCCGTGGGGGCGGGCAGGGGGCGTGGAGGGGGGTAAAGGGGGGTGTCAGGGCTGGGTGCTGCCCCCGGGGCTGGCGACGGGGTGACAGCCCATCCTGCGGATGGAGTGCAGGGCCACGGTGCAGCAGCCCCGCAGCAGCGG